GAGATGGGCCTCGTGAGCGGCTCTCTGCCCGAGGGGGCGATCGACGCGGCGCAGATCGACGACTCGGAGTCGGTCTGGATCCTGTTCGACACCTGTTCGGGGGTCACGGCGTGCCCGAGCGAGATCGCGCAGGACATCGCTGTGGGCGCTTCGTGAGGTGCCGGTCCGAGGTGCGAGTCGGCCACTGGGGGCGCGGTGGAGCTCCGAGAGAGGAGGCGGCTACCGATGCCTTTTGGCGACCACGCGTCCGGCATCCACTTCCACCCGCGTCGCGAACGTCCACAAGCCCATGGTGAGTGCGCGGGCCTTCCTGGGGGTTGGCTGCGCCGTGGACCTCGGGCAGGACTCCTGCTGCCCGCCCGGCCCGAAGGGGGTCATCCCCGTCTGCCGACGCCAGCGCGCGTTTTGGTTGAAGTTAGAGAGCCCAGACGCGAGCTTCGACCTCGAGGTCACCTCGACGTTGCGGCCGACGGCGGAGAGCAGGGCGCTGCCTGCGGTGGCGAGGGGCCTAGAGCAGTCGGCCACTGGGGCGAGCCCATCTGCGGCGGGGCCACCGCCGCCGCCGCCGCAGGCCGAGTGGCAGCCCTCGCTTGGCGAGCCTGGGAGGGCGGCTCGCGTGGCTGACGCCGACGACCTCATGGGGGACGCCGCGGGCTCGCTAGCGGAGTCGGAGAAGGCGCAGAGGGCACGAGCGCGTGGGATCCCACGAAGCCACCCCTAGCTGAGCGCCTCACGCGCCGCCTGACGCGCGCGCCGTGCAGGAAATAGTGCGCGGACTGCGTCGCGGGCCGAGGGCAAGAGGCGCCGCGTCCCAGGCGGACGGTTCGGGAGACGATCCTCGCTCGAGTGTGGATGGGCTATTGCTTCGCGTCGACGCTCCGCTAGGAGGGGGGGCCAGGCGACGATCCTGGTGGGGCTGCAGGAGGATTCAGGAGCAGTGGAGTCAGTGGTTGTTGTCGAGAGGGGGCCAGCCCAGTTCCCTGTGAAGATGGCGGGCAAGGCCGTGATGGTTGGGGGCTCAAGCGCGCCGTGGCGGTCTCCGACGGCGAGCCAGCGATCCAGGCGCTGCTCGCGGTGATCAAGCTGGAGCGGAAGGAGGAGGCGCGGGTGTCGTCGGCACTGGTGTCGTCGGCACCGCGCTGCGATTTATTTTCGAAGGGGCCCGTTGAGAATGTGAGTGGCAGAGTTGGTGGTCGGATGCGGCCGAGTGGCAGAGTGAGTTGGCAGCTCTGTGAAGAGGAAGTGCAAACCCCCGACCACGCTGTGGTTCAGTGGAACGTGATGCACTGCGGCTGGACGCTCACCCGATTCCTGGTCGGCTCGGATGGGCTGATTCCTTCGACGTTTGCGAGGTTTGCCCTGCGGGAGGGCGACCGCGGAGACGTGCGAGACCGGTTTCTACCGCAAGATGCATCGGAAGGAGATGTTCCAGTTCCGGTGGGAGAACAGAGCACCTGGCTCGCGAAGGCAGGGTCCACGGGCGAGCGCATCATCGGCGCGGCGGGCGGCAGGCAGCTGGCGAGATCGGTGGTCAGGCACCTTAGGGGCAGTCGCTGGTCGGGTAGGCTCCTCACTCATGTTGTTTGCGCGCTTTGGGGCGCGGCGGCGAGTCTGGGGCCCGAGGACGTCGCGCCGCGTGGCACCAACCTCGCGCGATTCGTGCTGGACAGGTTCGGCAGGGCCGCGGGGTGCAAGGCGCGAGCGGTGCGGTGGCCAGGGCGCCAGAGAGCGCGGGCAGGGGCTCGAGGAGGCGCTCGCTGAGGAGAGGCGGCCGGCAGGAGATGGCCCGCCAGCTGGGCCTCCGCCCGAGGGGCCAGCGCTGGCGCCGCCAGCCGACGCCCCTGCGGCGCCGGCAGCAGCCGCGGCTCTCGATGAGGCGCGGTCAGCAGGGCCTGGCGCGGGGGGCCAGGAGCTACGGAACGTCGGACGGCCGATGGCGATCGACCGTGGTCGAGGGGTCGCGCGCAGCGAGAGCAGCGGCGCTTGGGCCATGGCCTAGTCCAAGACGCTCCGTGCTGTTGGCAGCCTTTGCGTCAACGTGATGCAGGGCGTGTTCGTCGCCGCGATCGCGGCGGCTGTGGTGCAGGGGCCCGCGTATGCGTCGAGGTCCGGCATTCTGCTGGGCCCAGAGCTTGTGGGCGCGGGCAGACGACGCGAGAGGGGGCCCATGCAGGAGTTCAGGGTGCACGACAGAGTGCTGCAGACCGAGGCTTGTGGCAACCGAGTGCGAGCGCAGTGATTGGACGACGAGCGCCACGACGGCTCTGTGGCGACGTTCGTTCGATCCCGCCTCGTGGCCATGCGGGTGGCGCGGGGGGGCAGGAGCGACTGGTTCGCGTGGGCGACTATCTTGCCCTCCGTGGGGCACGGGTTCAGCTTCGCTGCGACGCTTGGGGGGGCGCGCGGGAGGCTGGTTGCTCTGTGCGACGTGTCGTTGGCATTCAACCGCGCGCTGCTGGGCGAGGACATCTGAGCAGGCCTTCCAAAGTCCGACGGGGAGGGCCCGCAGTGCGCGCAGCAGCTGCGGAAGGCCCTGTGCGGCGCGAGGAGAGCAGCGCTGAAGTTCCAGGAGTGCGTCATCGATGCGAGGGAGGTCAGGTTTCGAGCGGATCACGGTCGCGGCGCTGGTGTTCTACCGCGGCGTTCGTGTCATGTTGGCCGTGTTGCACGGAGGTGGCTTCTGTGCGGCGGGCGAGCGGGAGGAGCTCGACAGGCTCGACGGAGCGTTGGACCTAGACTTCGTGATCAAGCGTGGACCCCGTGTCGGTCCCCCGCATCTGGGCGAAACCGATCGCGGTCTCTCCGTCAAGCACGCGATTGGCTGGGGCGAGGGCGGCTTCCACTGGCTCGTACATGGTGCGTATCGAGAAGGTCATTTCGCGCGCTGGCCGTGCTGAGATGGGCGCGCCCGGTCGGTTGCTCCGCCCTGGCAGCAATCGCTCGGGCAAAAACCGGAAGGGCGCAGCGGGCTTCTGGCGACGCGGAGCGGGGTGAGCACCGCTGCCTAGCACCGCTGGTGCAGTCTGTGGTTGCGGACCGCCCGGGCATCCAGTGCGCGGCGGGAGTGCTGATGAGGTCGCTGAAGGAGCCCGCGGTGCTGCAGGAGCTCCAGCTGGGGCGCCTGGGGAGCTACTTCAAAACGTGTCAGGAGCTGCTGTGGGACTTTGTGCGCCAGGAGACGGCGAAGGTCCTGTGCGCCGAGGTTGGCTCGGAGTGGGCGCAGTGCCCGCGGTCGACGGGTGGCGGCCGCGTGTTCTGGGGTGGGCATCTGCTGGACAGCGATTGCGGTCAGCGTCAGAACATCGCCCTCTCATCAGGCGAATCGGAGCGCCATGAGCTCGCGAACTGCGCGGCGCACGGACTCCTCTTCATGAGCATCGCGCGTCGCCTGGGCGCTGGCCGGGCGCGACGCCTGGAGGCCGAGCAGCTCTGGGTCCAGGAGCAGACGGGGTCAGGAGGAGTGCAGCCCATCAGAGTCAAGACGACGGTTTGCCGATGGAGACTTGTTCACCAAGTTCTTCGACCCCGAGCGGCGCAGGGAGTTGTTCGGAGCGTTTTCGCTGGGTTTGCCTGTGTCGAGGCGCGGCCGCCGCGCGCTGGCGGTGGCGGCTCTGATGATGGCCCTCCCCGGGTCGGTAGCGGCGGCGGTCGGCGCGACAGAGTCGGACGTCTTCCTAGCTCTCTCTCTCTCTCTGGCGTTGATGGGCTTCCTCCTCGTCGGCGGCCGGCTCTGCGTGGGCTAGAGGGGACGAGCGAAGCCCGTGATGGCGAGTCGGGGCGCGCAGACGGATGAGGCGGTCATATCATCGAAGCCCTGCCTGTCGCCGCCGCGGAGAGGACCGGCAGGGCGCATCAACGTTGCGCCGGGGCCAGGAGAGAGAAGCACCGCAGCTCGAACTCGTGCAAGGGGCTTGATCGGGCTCGTGAGGTGAAGAAGTAGGCTGTATGGCTGACTGTGCTCAGGCGCATATGTTTCCAGCTCAGTGCGGATCGGCGCTTGGCCGAGGCGTCGATGCTGGATGCAGTCAGGCACTGGGATGGTGGTTTTACTGAAGGCTGGAGCTTGGCCAGCTTGGGCAGGGCCCCCGCGGAGAGTGTCGGTCTTCGCGGGCGAGGGCCAGGTCGCTGGCGACGATTCGGTAGTGGTTGTGCGATGATGAAGGTCACTGAGGATTGGCCCAGGGAATGGCTGGTCGCGCGGGCTGTTGGTGGCCGCTGCGGTCCGAGGGGGGCGCGGCGAGGAGGCGTGCGAGTATCCAGCCCCCGATGGCATAGAGAGGGCCAGGCATGATACTGGCACGCTGTAGCATGGCATGTAGGCGCGCAGTCCAGATCGGAGGAAGGTCAGAGCCACGTTGGCTCAGCGCCTTGCTAGTCCCAAGGAAGGGGGGCCCTCTCCTGGATGTTTGGATCCGCTTCATCTACAAAAGTTAAGTACTTGCGTATGTGTATATACAGACAAACATATACATTTGCTTGTTTGTACGTATGTGAGTATGTATGCATGTATGTATGAACGTGTATATATATGTATGTAGGCATGTTTGCTTGTGCGTATGTGTGTATACATGCATGCATGCATGCGTTTGTGCATGTATGTATTTATGTATGTATGTAGATGTTCATGCACATATCTAGTGATCTGAAGCCCAATCCGCCACCGTGCACGGGCTGTGATTATAGAGCATCCAGGAAGTTCTGGGGCGTCGCGAGGAGTCTTCTGTGGAGTGACTACTACGCATTAGCGAGGCTTCTTGCGGGCCGCAGAACCGTTCGGATGCAGAAGTAAGTTTAGCAGTTCTAATGTGGAAACGCGCAAGGGGTACTGAGAGGAAATCAGGGGCGAGTCTCATCTGTAATCAATGGGGCACGCGCGCTCGCTGCTGGGCGCGCGCGATCAGAGAGAGTGGTGTGCGTTCGGCGCAGGCAGTCGTAAACGGACTCGCAGGACTCGCAGGGGGGGGGTGCGCGTGGTGTGCGTTCTGTAATCAGTGTGGCTCTGGTGTTGGGGCATCCCGTCGCGCGGCGCGCGCAGTGCCGGAGGTGCCCGCGCAGCGGATGAGCGCTGCGGGATGTCATCATGGCATAGTGGTTTTCAAAGTAATCGTCGCGAGTGTGGGCTCGCAGAAGTCCGCGCTCCTCGCGCAAGTGGGCTGTCGATCTTAGACTTTTCCGTGGGGTCGGAGGAAGCGATGGAATTTCTACGCGTGCCACTATCATCATTCAAACATCTCGTGCAGGGTGCCAATGCCATCATCGTTGTTGTCTCTGCGCGTTTGTCAGAGCGCCTCGTTCAGTCTCTGGGGTGTCGATGCGGGTTGCGGATCATATGTTTTTGCAGTCGTTAGGAATCGGTCTTGGGAGTTCTTCGGATTTGTGGAACCAGTGTGCCGATGAGTTTGGGCTCTGTTGGATGTGCTCAAGTCGTGCCTTGGCGAGGCCATGCCCATTGAGGTTCCTCGGGGTTGAGTTCGCTTACTTGCATGCCCCAGCTGGTGCCCGGGAAGTGTCGCTTGGGCATGTGCGGCGTCAGTTGGGAACTCGCGGTGGGTCTCTCAGCGGCCCCGTCGAAATCTGGTCGAGGTTTTTTTTTTTTTGGGGGGGGGGGGGGGGCGCGCTCTAGCCCCCCGAGGTTGCCAGATAAAGAGCGCGGCGTCGCGAGAAACGGCGCAGGTGGCGCCCCCGACGCCCTTCTCTGATATGTATATATATATATATGTATATATATATATATATATATATATATATATCTATATATATTATATTGTTTTTTTGGGTAAAACAAAACCCAACCATCCTGTGGTGTTGGGTCCCCGTTTTGAAGAGACGTCGCCCCGCGTTCCTCCTTCCTCCTTCCTCCTTCCTCCTCCTCCCCTTCCTCCCCCCTCCTCCCCCTCCCGCGCCCATTCTGGCGCACCCCTCACACGTTTCGTGGCCCCATAACACCCCTCACACGTTTCGTGGCCCCATAGGGAGCTCCACCGAAGGCCCCAGTGGCTGCGCCCGCATGCGGTTCCACCCCCCATTCTGGCACACCCCTCACACGTTTCGTGGCCCCATAGGGAGCTCCACCGAAGGCCCCAGTGGCTGCGCCCGCATGCGGTTCCACCCCCCATTCTGGCACACCCCTCACACGTTTCGTGGCCCCATAGGGAGCTCCACCGAAGGCCCCAGTGGCTGCGCCCGCATGCGGTTCCACCCCCCATTCTGGCACACCCCTCACACGTTTCGTGGCCCCATAGGGAGCTCCACCGAAGGCCCCAGTGGCTGCGCCCGCATGCGGTTCCACCCCCCATTCTGGCACACCCCTCACACGTTTCGTGGCCCCATAGGGAGCTCCACCGAAGGCCCCAGTGGCTGCGCCCGCATGCGGTTCCACCCCCCATTCTGGCACACCCCTCACACGTTTCGTGGCCCCATAGGGAGCTCCACCGAAGGCCCCAGTGGCTGCGCCCGCATGCGGTTCCACCCCCCATTCTGGCACACCCCTCACACGTTTCGTGGCCCCATAGGGAGCTCCACCGAAGGCCCCAGTGGCTGCGCCCGCATGCGGTTCCACCCCCCATTCTGGCACACCCCTCACACGTTTCGTGGCCCCATAGGGAGCTCCACCGAAGGCCCCAGTGGCTGCGCCCGCATGCGGTTCCACCCCCCATTCTGGCACACCCCTCACACGTTTCGTGGCCCCATAGGGAGCTCCACCGAAGGCCCCAGTGGCTGCGCCCGCATGCGGTTCCACCCCCCATTCTGGCACACCCCTCACACGTTTCGTGGCCCCATAGGGAGCTCCACCGAAGGCCCCAGTGGCTGCGCCCGCATGCGGTTCCACCCCCCATTCTGGCACACCCCTCACACGTTTCGTGGCCCCATAGGGAGCTCCACCGAAGGCCCCAGTGGCTGCGCCCGCATGCGGTTCCACCCCCCATTCTGGCACACCCCTCACACGTTTCGTGGCCCCATAGGGAGCTCCACCGAAGGCCCCAGTGGCTGCGCCCGCATGCGGTTCCACCCCCCATTCTGGCACACCCCTCACACGTTTCGTGGCCCCATAGGGAGCTCCACCGAAGGCCCCAGTGGCTGCGCCCGCATGCGGTTCCACCCCCCATTCTGGCACACCCCTCACACGTTTCGTGGCCCCATAGGGAGCTCCACCGAAGGCCCCAGTGGCTGCGCCCGCATGCGGTTCCACCCCCCATTCTGGCACACCCCTCACACGTTTCGTGGCCCCATAGGGAGCTCCACCGAAGGCCCCAGTGGCTGCGCCCGCATGCGGTTCCACCCCCCATTCTGGCACACCCCTCACACGTTTCGTGGCCCCATAGGGAGCTCCACCGAAGGCCCCAGTGGCTGCGCCCGCATGCGGTTCCACCCCCCCATTCTGGCACACCCCTCACACGTTTCGTGGCTCCATAGGGAGCTCCACCGAGCGCCCCAGTGGCTGCGCTCGCATGCGGTTCCACCCCCCCATTTCGGCACACCCCTCACTCGTTTCGTGGCCCGGGGGCGCCACCGAAGAATATATCCACAATTGCGGTATTCACAACTACGTATGGTTGGGTCTTTCGTCAGGTGTATTTTTTTTTATTTCTTCTGCGGGTGGCGTCGATCTGTGCCAGGGTCGTGTGTTAGGTGTCTGTCGGATGCATATTGGATGATTTCCGAGTCGCCTTGGCCGTGCCGTTGAAACCGTAACGTGTATGGACCCGGTAGATTGGACTGGACTTTTCATGGGATTTTGTTGAAGCTTCACGGGGTTTCTTTGCGTGTATCAGCGCCCTCTCGGCGGCCCCTGGGGCCGCCGGGGAAGTCCTCCGGGCAGCTGGGGAGCTCTTCTGGGCGACGGCGCGGCGTGTCTGGGTCACTTTTCGCAGCCGCGAAAGAATGGTATTCGTGCTTGGCTGGGCTGCGCGTCTGAGCCGCGCAGTCGAGGCGTTGCTGAGTTGCGAATCTGAATGACCAATGGGAGGCGCGTGAACGCCAGCGTCTCTGCGATGTCCGCCCAGCGGAAGAACGTCGTGCGCTCGAGGGGGAGTGTCAAATTTTGCTCCGACCTTCCTTCACTTCCGTAGCCGTGTGTGGGCCCGAGTTCTGCTGGCTCACCGCGCATTCAGCTCCTGGGTTTCCCGCGCGCTCCCGAGCTCGGCTCAAGTCGCAGTTGTCGGCGGTCTGCCTTGATGCTGGATTGCTCGCGGGTGCGGTTGCTGGAAATCGTGCAGGGGCAAGCAGCGGTATGCTTCGCTTTCGCGCCCCCGCAGCAGAGGCGGGCCCCCCCGTGCCGGGGCGTCCAGGAATTGCGGCGGTTGCCCTTGTCATAGGTGGCGACCCTGGCGTCCTTGAGCGAGTCGATGATTCATCGTCCGCGTCGACAAATTTCCACAGACGGCGACGGTGCTTGCAGTGCTCGCGCCTGGTGTGGAAGTCGCTTTCACGGCGGGCTTCGCCAGGTTCGCGCCGCGTTTTTTTTTTTTTTTTTTTTTTTTTTTTTTTCTTCTTCTTCTTCTTTCCTCTTCCTTCTTCTCAGACGCATGGGCGCAGCGCAGAGGGCGTCCGACGGGGTGCGCGAGACTGTCGCGCGCTTCGCCGTCTCATCAATCGGGCGCGGCACGTGGTCAATGCGCCCCGGGCTGATCGCGACGCCCGTGTGCTGGGGGAGCTTTTCTATTTGGGGTCACGAAGAGCGAGAACTCTGGAAGGGGCGTTCCGCATGACCCCCTGCTCTCATCCGCGTGCGTAGATGCAGTAAGTGAAGAGCCGAGGAAGCATAGCTCGTTCGGAGAGACGCGCGTCAGCGGTGCAAGCTTTAGGAACATGTGCCGCGAAGATCAGGCACATGTTTTTGTTCCCTGAGTCCACTGCTGACTTACATGGGCTTTGCAGAGCTGTGCTTCGGCGAGTGGAAGTTTGGCAGAATCCCATGTTTGCCGTGAGGATTCATCCAGATCGACGTTGTTTGCGCGGACTGCGCCAAGGGGGCTTGATATCGCAAAGACATGGTGGAGTTTTGCGGCGCGCAGATCTTCGAAGTTTTCCTGGGGACGTTGGGCGATGTGTTTGCAGACATTCGCGGTGAGGGTACAGAGAGGGTCGTGGGCGTGTTCGGCTGTGCTCGGGTCGTTTCAGATGTGCAACGTTACGCGCTTCGCGCAGAAGCTGCCTGGTCCGTTTGAAGGTCCGGGCCGTCCGCGAGATTCTTCGAGCGTGTGTGGCCGCGTTCTCTGGATGTCATGGCCCTATTTGGATAATACTTGCGCGAGTTGAAACTGCTGTTCTTGTGTGGCTCACATGGTCTCAGACAAGTACTGGTCGAGGCCCGTCGACCGATATCGATCGAAGAGAGAAGGGAAAATCACTGGAGGAAGAAAAGGAGGGGTGGCAAGGGGTGGAGGAAGACGACGACTGTGATACGGGGGCGAATGAGACAACAACGACGACGACGACGACCACGACGACAACGACGATGACGACGACGACGATGACGACGACTACGACGATGACGACGACCACGACGACGATGATGACGACGACGACTACGACGACGACGACGACCACGACGACGACATTGACGACGACGACGACGACCACGACGACGATGACGACGACGACGACCACGACGACGACGACGACACCGACGACGACGACGACGACGGGCCTCTTGGAGGCTTCGTGGGCGCCATTTGGGGCCTTTTGGGGCCTCTCTGGGGTCTCCTGCGGCTGTTTTGGGGTGGAAGGTTCGAATTTTCGGTTCGGGCTTCCGTTCTTGGGCCCCTCTGGGGGGTTTCTTTCGGCCATTTCTGGCCTTTCTTGGGCTCCTCTTGGGCAGTCTCGGCGCCCCCTTGGGCCATCTTGGGGCGCTCTTGGGGGTCTCTTGATCCGTCTGGGGCCAAAACGCTAAATTCTTTCAACATCTTGAGGAACATCAATTGTTTTGGCCTCGTGTGGTCCTCTTAGGAGTGCCCTTTGAAACCTCTTCAAGCGTCTCGGGGGTCTTTTGGGCCGTCATCGGGCTGTTTTGGGCATCGTGCGCTGATCGTTCGGCGACTCGGGGCCCTCCTGGACCGTCATCGGGGACCTCTTGGGGCCCCCACTTGCTCGTGGCTGGGCCCCCCTTGGCTCCGAAAAAACCACGCGGCAAGCCCCAACAAGGCGCGAGAAACCCCACGAGATTTCGGATCGCATGCTCCAGGCCCCTAGTTGATTCTTCCGGATTGAGGATTGAGGCTGGGAGGATCAAGAAAGGGATCCGAGG